TTCCCACTATGTGGTGAATATCCGAAAGCTACCCGGAACACCACAGTCACATCTGAAATCTGAAACGAGTCAAAGCAGAAGCAGCCGACCGAATGACTCCACACGTGTTTCAAGACGGTGATGACGAAATGTTGTCTGGATTGACTAAGACATTAGGTGGGTGATATCTGGGAGTGAGAGACAGTTCCGTCAGACTGGTGTAAATCACTGATTACCCCAGTTCACACGAAGGCAGACAAGTCTTCGCGTGACAATCAATCATGCAGGGTGGATTAGCTTGACTAACACAGTGTCTAAAATTCTAGGTTGAATGACGACACGTAGACGAAGCGGTGCTCGGGAGAAGCGAGTCCGTGGAAATCAGACAGACTTTAGGCCGAGACCAAGGTGTGTTGATCTTATCTTCAGCCTTGGACAGATTCTCGAACATAGGCCTACTTACCGGCGTACAACACTTGTCATATTTCCTTTTCAATTTGATTTCAACACACATGTATGTACTAATGGGATTGACCCCAACTGACTTTAGCCATTCAGGGATTGAGTTGTTACGAGGAGACAGTCTCCTCGATTTACACCATGCAGATGATATAGTCCTTCTAGGTGAAGACGCCGGCCCAATGCAGTCTTCTCAAGACGATGAGCAGAAATCCCAGTATGTTTGGCGTGCGATTCGCCCTGTCAAATGCAAGCTGATGATGATGATGATGATGATGATGATGAGAGCAGCAGCACTGGTCTGCATGCAATCCCAGTAGATGTGTATCCGCGACATACGCCTGTATTATTTCAGTTGGTGAAGAGCGTTTGAAATGAAGTAGAAGTAGGGAGAAGAGAAACTTCATAAGATGTTGCTGTGAGCTGATGGCGAAAACTGGCATCACACTTCACTTGAAGCAAACAAAGGCCGGCCTAGACTTCCCACTATGTGGTGAATATCCGAAAGCTACCCGGAACACCACAGTCACATCTGAAATCTGAAACGAGTCAAAGCAGAAGCAGCCGACCGAATGACTCCACACGTGTTTCAAGACGGTGATGACGAAATGTTGTCTGGATTGACTAAGACATTAGGTGGGTGATATCTGGGAGTGAGAGACAGTTCCGTCAGACTGGTGTAAATCACTGATTACCCCAGTTCACACGAAGGCAGACAAGTCTTCGCGTGACAATCAATCATGCAGGGTGGATTAGCTTGACTAACACAGTGTCTAAAATTCTAGGTTGAATGACGACACGTAGACGAAGCGGTGCTCGGGAGAAGCGAGTCCGTGGAAATCAGACAGACATTAGGCCGAGACGAAGGTGTATTGATCTTATCTTCAGCCTTGGACAGATTCTCGAACATAGGCCTACTTACCGGCGTCCAACACTTGTCATATTTCCTTTTCAATTTGATTTCAACACACATGTATGTACTAATGGGATTGACCCCAACTGACTTTAGCCATTCAGGGATTGAGTTGTTACGAGGAGACAGTCTCCTCGATTTACACCATGCAGATGATATAGTCCTTCTAGGTGAAGACGCCGGCCCAATGCAGTCTTCTCAAGACTTTGAACAGAAATCCTTGTATGCTTTGCGCACTATTGTCCCTGTGATCTTGGTGTTTTTGATATCTCAATTTTCTTATATTTCTGAATTTTTTTCTGTTTCTGTTATGTTGTCTTGTAATTTTTTTGGCATACTTTATAGGCCTATTTTTTCTGCACTTTTTGGATTGTTTTTGAAGGGCTTTTTTCTTTTAAATATTATTAATTTACTTCTCAGTTTCCTGATTCTTAGTTAAGATATCCTTCAGGAAATGATGTACAGGAATTAGTGAATCGCAGACTTGACAAAGGCATCAAGAGAACTTATTATGCTGCAAAACTTGTTTTCCTTAACACCACTAAGCGAGTGCTTCAACAATCTCGTAAAGACCAGTCGCCAATCCTCGACACTTCAAACTGCGTATATCAATTTGAGTGTGTTTGTGGAAGCAAATACATAGGTCGTACGGAAAGGCGATTTTCTACTCGCATTTGCCGAAATGGTTGAAAACAGCTGAGTGCAAAGTGCCGAAATCCTCAATAACAAAGCATCTTGTGGATCACGGACATGACATCGACTCGGTCAAGTTATTCACTATTGTCAGCAGACAAAGGAACAAGAAGATGCTTGCAATTGCAGAGGCTTGTGCAATTCGAGTTTACAAACCAGATCTCTGTGTACAAAAGGAGATGGTCGTGACTCTTATTCTACCATAGTAATTCGTTTTACTTATAATTCTACCTCTTATTATTATTACTGTTTTCACTATTATTATTCTTGATTCATTTAAAACTATCATTTATCAGTAGGATTATCTTAACTCACTTCAACACTATTATTATTTTTATTATAACTATTACTATTGATATTACTCTGTTTGCAATTCTTGTTATATTCTCTAATGTCTAATTGTTTATCTAAGTGATGTAATTGAAGCATAATACAATTTATCTTAATTTTGATCTTTCATATTCTCTCTCTCTCTCCTCAATCTACTTGAACATGACCTGGAAAACATTCGCACCTGTCTTTCTGCATGACTAATTCAATGTAGTTTGTTTACTTATCAGTCCTATATCTCCCAATGTAATTTCAAAAGTATATATATCCGTGTATGTAGAGTATTTAGCTGACGAGTTCTACAGAAATTTGATGAATTCATTAAATCCTGCTTTTTTATTCTTTATTGCTTGTTTTAAATTCGTATCGGGAAATAAATGTTTCCAATTTTAATTGTAGCTTTATTCGAGACCATTTTTTCGGTAAAAGTTTGAAATTTTCAGCATGTGATATCGGAAGCCCAAATTTTGCAGGCCAACCATTTATATCAGGTGTGCGTCGGCAAGGCATCTAACCCCGGGCCATATGCATGGTCGGTGAGATTGCTAACCGCTGTACCACTGACGCACCTATTTCGGTTAGGCGTGGAGTGCTAGGTTAATAATTGATTTTGATGGATGATTTTGTCAAACTACATCGACTGAGATGTGTATGACACCTGTTCAACGTTCCAGGCCATCGCCTTCCTCCTAATCCTCTGTTTGGGTGTTTTTCTATGTCGTGATCAATTTATTCTCTCTTTTTATTTGCAGATTTCATTGGATGAGTTATTTGCTTTATTGCTGTGTGCACCCACCTCTTAAGAACGGAAACTTCACTGTTTCAGAATCGCTTTCATTGCTCCTGAGTGTTCTTCCTCGCGGGGTATTTCAAGTATTTACTTGTTATCAAGTCCGTAATAGCTTGTAAACAAAAATGCACTACTTCAATATTAAGCTAAATAGAGACTGAAGAATAACTTCATTTACTAACCACTTTCGTGCATAGGAACAATGTATTTGAATAGTTCTTCATACCGACGTAATAAGTATTTATTACGCCTAATCAAAGAATGTAGACAACAGTTATATGCGTGTTACATTCAGGTTATATATCATATGGGTTACTGACAAATCCTGAATCATTAATTTTATTGATGTAACATGTTGGGAATATTTGTTGCATGTACGCTCTACCATATGCATTGGCTGTTCAAGACATTCACTTTCGTTAGCATGTCTCATGAACTGCCACTTCATGACTTATGAGCTGCATTGTGTAGAAATCTTGGAATTAGTCACATCTCTAAATTAACTTATACAAAAACAATGTTTATTGACCTAGAAGGGGTGTAGTTCCACCAACAAAACGACATTAAATCCATTCCACTTTTTTGACAATATATTCCGCATCACTGGATTGTTGCGTACCTTTAAGTTCCTAGTGGAACATAGGGCAGCTTCAAGGTTGAATTTTTAGTAGCGCTTGCACTTTTCACAGAGTGTGGTTGTTAGCCTTTCGCGGTTTCGCTACCGGCTAGGTGAGGTTCAGGAGTGTGTCCGCTGGGACTCGATCCTGGGTGACGTGCGTGGCTAGTGAGCATGCTACCCCTGACTCACCAAACGCACCATATTACTGGATAATGTGGTTTATTTTCTAACCTGAAAAAACGACTCATTTCTATGGTAAAAGTATTGCTGTTAACTAATCGTCACATTTTGTTTAATTCCGAGATTTTAGCCTGTTTTTGAAGGCTATACAATGTGAATTCTATCTCACATCTGTTACGTATTTTGAGGCTACCAGTTTATGCGATCAAAGACTGTAAACTTAATCAAACGATTTAAACAAATAGTGCACATTATGTAAGCCCACTAGTATCAAAACACTTAAGCTATTACAAGTGTAGCGGTAGGTAATCCCCCAGGATTATTGGCCACAGCATTCATCACTGAATATTGGATGCCGATCCTCACTGTTTAAGTCAACTTGTTTAGCTGAAGGCTTACGGTCAAGCATCCACGACGCCATTTGGTACGCCGTCGTGTCACGTTCGTTCATTCGTGCACGATCCCTAGCTAGTTAGTTAAGCAATCATCTCGCACTCCGATTTGCTCCCGAAATATAAACTCGTAATTTGGACGGTCAATACTGGTGTTTTGTTATTAGATTTTGCGTTAGTATACTTCGTACTCTCCGTGAACGTCAATACCTTTAGTCTCTTAACAAGCCTTCCTTTAGCCAATAGAAATCACCAAGTCAAAAAAGGGCTTACATTACCATGTTGAGACATGACATAGAGCAAAACTGATGATAGATTTGCCAAATCTCTTCCTCTAGTACATACTTCAGTATAACTACCACATCCCGGTTAATGTATCCGTATCTACCGTATCTAAGACCCAACTGTATGAACACACCCGCCACAATCAAAATGTCAGTGACAGTAATATATTAATTAGATCATGAATCTAACCAGAGAAATTCTAGTTTAATACGTAATACTTCGAAATACTAAGTATTAAAACAGCATTTGAGGCCATTCATAAAGCAAGTGCATTTTTTCGTTCTTACTCCTACTGATGATCATTTCTGGTGTAAAACTTTCCTGAGGCGAAAATTTCAATTTCAAAAGGACAAACAAAAAGACTTTTACAGAGCTTATATTATGACTGTTCAGTCTTATCTACAACAGTTGACGGTGTAAAAATTTCCGCAACATTATACTTGCGATATGTAAAAAAATTTTCAAGTAAACTGATACAAGTTATTTTACAAAGAACAGTTATGGAAATTACAACTGAAGGTGATGAATTGCATATCTCCCATGAGGAATCCACTGACTTGATTGCTTTAATTGTGGCATGTATTGCGTCGTCGCGAGTAATAGCCTTATAGCCACGAACTTTGAAAATAATCATGAACGTTTTCGGTCCTTTCAAAGTACTCTCACCTGCAGTTTGCTTTGGTACATGGAAGGTGGAAGTGGAGATCTCACTACCTGTTACACAACTTTTCTGAGCACACGTTTCCTCTAAAGGAGCATCAATTTCAGATTCCGGCGAATCCGTATTTTTAGGATTCAGCCCATCTGACGGTAAGCCAAGGAATTGCGACCACACTTGCTGTAGACAATTATACAGTGCTGGAAGGTCTGAGCGACAAGTATTTACAACAGGCATTAAGCGAAGAACATGACGCGATTCTGCATCGCTAGATGACAGCAATCTTTGATACAGACGATGGCAAAGTTCTGCAGGGCAAACTATATCCGTTTGATGCAGAATAAAAGAACAATTACTGATATGCGTTTTTACAGGATAAAAAGAACACTTCTTTCCGGAGCTATTCAGATTTGTCGAACAATTTTCACGAAGCAACTCAGTGTATATATCCTCTACATCCTCATCATTCTTTTCATCAGCAACTACTCTAGTAGATTCAGAATCCGCCAATGCGCTGTCCACTGGATCCACTGGGTCATGATTTTCATTTTCTCCGGTTTTTTCAGGTTTTGATATATCACATTTGCCTGATATTTCATCTAACGTATGATTCAATAGACGATAAGTTTCAATATGAGCTAAACGTTCACGTTGGTTGTATGTCATTATATAACCAGTCATACCGGGCTGCAGATTTCTCGGTACAGAAGTCTGAGAATTATTATTTGAGTCATTGACACGTGATTTCTTGGAAGCTGCTGCACACTTTCGATAGTAAGCTTTGCGTTTTTTCTTCGATTTCTGTTTATCCATTTTTGTTTACTGGAAGTAAGGAAGAGTTAACATGCATTAGAAACAACAACAACAACAAAGAATGGACATAACAGAATAAGCAAAAGTGATATGCGGGTGAAATCAACAAACTGTGACTAACAGACACTTAAACCTACAGACTTATCAATACATTTGTGGGCAGTGGAAACTATCAGCGAAATCTGAAGGAATCCATTTTGTTAATGTATAGATAATACCTAACAATATTTCACAAATTTAATACAAAATAAAAATGTGCTGTATCACTTTACTAAATTAAATCAGCCTGATGAAATAAAACAGTTGGTATATCGTCTGCATATTCTAAGTCAACGAGATTATTCTCTGGTAGCAAGTCAATCCCTGAGTCTCTGAAGTGAGTTAGGGTTAAGTTCATTAGTACATCTATGACTTGCTACCAAAGAATAATCTCGTCGACTTAGAATATGCAGGTGATACAGTCCTTCTAGGTGACGACGCTGACGAAACGCAGAGTCTTCTGAACACCTTGAGCTGCAATCTACGAATGTTTAGGATACGGTTCGCTCCCGCCAAATGTAGCATAATGTAACAGGACTGGAATACACCGACTCCCAGATTAAAAATAGGGAGTGAAGTGGTAGAGCACGTTGACCGCTTCACTTATTTGGGAAGTACCATTAGCCCAAACGGGTTGATCTCTGACGAAATCTCAGTACGAATACAGAGGGCTAGTTTCGCATATGCCAGTTTACGCCGTCTCTAGCTTACTAGACGTGATATCCGGCTGGCTATCGAACAAAGGGCGGGTGTACTCCTCAGCAGTCCGCTCTGTCCTCCTTTATGGCTGTGAGACCTGGCCATTGAGAGTGGAAGACATGAAAAGATTAGATGCTTTCGATCATAAGTGCCTGCGTTCTATCTCCCGTGTGAAGTGGTACAGTAAGGTGAGCAATATTGAGATTAGCCGTCGACTGCTAGGTAAGGAGGGGAAATCAATCGACGAGACTGTGAAATCACATCGACTGAGATGGTTAGGACATGTCTTACGTATGCCTAGTCACCGCCTTCCTCGATGGGCAATGTTAGCTGATATAGGGTCAGGCCGGAAAAGAGCTAGCGGCGGTCAAACGAAAACATGGCACCAGTCAATGAAATCTACAACAGTTCGTCTAAGCCACGTAGGAAGGTGTAGACTTCCCCACTGGTTGGGGTCCTCGGGACGGTAAGAACCAATGGTTGGAAACAATTGGTGACATGGCTCAAAATCGTTCTCAATGGCTAACGCAGATGCATCCACTCCTTGTGACTTATGATTTCCAGTTAAACTATGTTGTTCTTCGTTATTACTATACCTTTGTCTCACACCTCTGTTTACTGTCTCTATTATGCATTTCTCCTACTTTCTTCTCTTGCTTTGTGTGGTACATGGAGTGTGGCGACTTGAACTACCGCACATCGGTGCAAAGTTCTATGTCGAAAACAAACAAAACAGTTGGTATAATGATTCAAGTTTTTTAAAAATTTGGCTTGTAGTTTCAGCTGACAAGGATAGCGCATTACTGAAATAAGCAGGACACAATAACTTGAGTAAATACATGAAAATATAAAGATTTTCTTTGTCTTCAGACTACCTACTACTACTGGCGGACTGAGATGAGTAGTTGGTATACCACACTTATATCAACCGCTAGGTGAATTTAATTAACGTCTTCGGTTTTCACATGAACTAGAAACAACTTAGTCTGTGTTGACGAAACTTCTTCGGGTGTTTCAAAAACAAATGCTGCAAAGGTGAAGACATATCATGATCCTAAATTTCGTTCCAACTTCTAGGCATGAATACAGGGTTCTGTTATATGAGACTCCGACTCCCAACTCGACGGTCTATAAATGAGGATTCAAATTTTATAAATATTCACTGTCTGCCAGTTAGTCAGAAAAATGGCCCATCAGGTTTCCCTGTCTGTTGATAAAAGCTCATTCTAAATGCATCATGCCATTTTGACATTACTATAATTACTGTGTAAGTATCATTATAAATTGGGCAAGGGACTACATTTAGGAATTAAAACTGCTTCAGCTTCACTCCAGCGACTGATGAGTTTTACTTAATTCTAACTGGGATGGCTTGCTAAAAAAGAATGCCACCTGAAAATGGTAAGAAGATAAGAAAACGGTTTGTTAAAAACCAACTCTATGCTGACCTCTGAATTACTTTGAAAACACTGTAATCTAAAGACTTGGAGCAGATGATATGCAGTGGGAGTAGGAATTTATCCCTGGTAATTGATCAACAGGAAACAATTATGCATTCATCTGCAACATAGATTAATTCAGTGAAGACATCTGGGCAAATGTGTGCGTCGGTGATATAGCGGTTAGGACGATCGCCGACCATGCACATGGTCCGGGGTTCGATCCTCGGTCGACGCCCTCCTTTACCTCGCTGAGCCAGAAATAATGCTGGTAAAGAGGAAAGGTTGAGCATGAGGCTAGCAACCCCATCCTGTAAAATAAACACTGCTACAGAAACTTCAAGCCATTAGCTTGAAGCCCTATGTTCCACTGGGGAACGTGAAGGAAAAAAAATCTGGGCAAATAGAAAAAGAAGCCTTAGGTTTGATCTTTGTTGTGAGATGTTTGCAAAAAATTGATTACAGCTGTCTACTTACTTCGCTGACAAATCATAAATCGCTAATCCCAATATTTTTAGCTCGAAAATCGGTATTTCTACATGTGTAGCCAGTTAATTGCAACACTGGACAGTGTTACGGAGACATGATTTTGACATTAAATATAATCGAACTAGTAATAATGGACAAGCCAATGCTTTGTTCGGTCTAATCAGCGAATATAACACTTCAAGTTAAGACACTGCAATAGAAGCGATTCACTCTAAAATCTACTCAGTCCACTTCACAGATAGCTCTATTCATTCTTCACCAGTAACTGCCACCTACATCCAGAGTAACGGAAACAGTAAGAATTCACTACAATATGCCACCCAGTACATACTGTGTTGCCGGCCAAATATTCAAGCTCATTGGGGATGTAAAATGTAAAGTTACACCGAATGAGGTGATTAGGATATGTGTTACACATGCCTAGCAATCACCTTCCTCGACAACAGGCAATGTTAGCCTGCATAGGATTAGGTTAGAAAAGAGCCAGCGGTGATCAAACCAAAACATGCCATCAGTCAATGAGATTCACAACAGTTAGTTTAAGGAGGTGTAGACTGCCTGGTTGGAGTCCTAAGGATGGTAAAAACCAATGACGGCTGGAGACAATTGATGATTTGGTTGAAAATAGTTCTCAATTGCTGGCGATAATGCATTCACTCTTCGTGATTTATAATACCCAATGAAATTGTATAGCTCTTCCATATTACCTTTCTTTTTGCTTCATATTTCTGTTTATTATCTCTCTTTACTCTCTTCGCTTACTTTGTGTGCTACGTGGAGTGTGGCAACTCGAACTGCTACACATTTGTGCAGAGTTCTACATTGAAACCAGTCAGTCAGTCAGCCAGGGGGTGTAAAATATCCTTTTGTTTTCCGGACTCTCATTATGCTGTGTAGGACTGCCTAGTGTTCGGAGAAAGCATTGTAATACAGAGATCTTCAAGCTGAAGTCCCGTCACAGTTTCATGTACATCGTCTTGGCATTCAACACATTAGTTCTATTGCTCGAAGTTTCACACACTGGCTAAAGATAAACCAGCCCATCGCGGATTTTTTTTCTTAGGCGATGTTTAAAATGTCTGAAAGTAGCGATATTTTCGCACTGATTATCGCCTACATCATGTTCATATTCACATTGATTTTGACAGTTTCATGAACGATGTATCCCACTTGATGATAGTAGTAGATCTGTCTGTTTTTGTCTGTTTTCGACATAGAACTTTGCACCGATGTGCGGCAGTTCAAGTCGCCACACTCCATGTACCACACAAAGCAAGAGAAGAAAGTAGGAGAAATGCATAATAGAGACAGTAAACAGAGGTGTGAGACAAAGGTATAGTAATAACGAAGAACAAAACAGTTTAACTGGAAATCATAAGTCACAAGGAGTGGATGCATCTGCGTTAGCCATTGAGAACGATTTTGAGCCATATCACCGGTTGTTTCCAGCCATTGGTTCTTACCGTCCCGAGGACCCCAACCACGAAGTCTACACCTTCCTACGTGGCTTAGACTAACTGTTGTAGATTTCATTGACTGGTGCCTTTTGAAATGGCCAAACATCATACCGGTTATCCCAACAACAATGTCGCAGATTCTAAAGGCTCTGGTATATATATCTGTAATTGTGGTCCACCCGGAAAAATCGTTACAGATAATCTCGTTGGCATGCAGTCCCAAGAGCACTATCATCAACATCTCATCACGCATACGTTGTCGTCACTAGCCAAAGCATTTGTATTGTCAAATGAGGTAGTCAGTGCATCGCATTTCTGGTAAGCACATTTAAAATGTCGGTATACACTCATCCACATAATTTTAGATATCTAGTGTAAGGGAATCAGCAAAACCTTTAGGAGAGGAGTCGGAGACCTTATCACTGTTGTCCGTTCACCAACTGGTATCACAACAGCACTAATCTCTAAAGTGAAAAAAATTAAATTAGTTGAGTGAACATCAGCTGAGAATGTTTTGAGATGTTCAGCTACACGTATCTTTACGTATCCAGTGAAAAATGAGAGTCAGGTTTATCAAAAGGCAACTAACTACACAATGACCAAGTGCACGCCTTTTTACACGTCAATATGAGCCTTTTGTATCAATGGCATATTCAAGCTTCAGCAGGTGAAATAGATTTCCCAGCTGTAATCTAAGGACTGAAAACTGAAAAAATTTACCAACCAGTTGAAATTTACTCAGTTTTTACAAATAATACCATGATGTTCTTCATTTCCTTATGACTGAGTAGTAATGCTAACTTGGATTATGCGCAGACGACAACATTATATCGAGTCAGTTTGCAGACATGATTATCTTTCAGGGGTATTAGCCAACAAATAATCAACAGGTTTTAGGATAACTTCCAGTAGTTTCAGTTTGACCCATTCTCTCAGCACAGACAAAAGAAGTGGCTAATTCCGCTTCTTCTCAAATCACATATGAAATGGTGTAAGGGAGGTATGATACTTGTCATTAGGAGTGCCCTTCGGTCTACTATTTCACTGAAAATATTTTCATTCAAGATAGGTACCCAATTTTTTGGGCATTGTAGCACCACACACATCTTGTTTCTAAAAACATTGCCAGCAAGGTGAAAATTGAGCATAAGTCCTGAGGCAAAAAGGGTACATCAGTTTAGGGACCAATAAATCTTCAGTGACTGAAGATATTAAGTCGCATGCTCTGCATGACAATTCATTATCTACCACGATGCATTACACTGGGGGTGGGGGGGGGGGGTAGAATCACTTAAGTAGACGGCTAGTGATAACCAGGCAAATACATTGCATTGATTCGTAAAGTCACACTCATCACTGATCTGATTCACTTAATTTGCTTGGCTGACGTGCATTTTAGCACAGTTATCCACGGTTATGAACACTATATTACGCAGTTAAGAATTGACAGTAGTGGCTAATATGCGCATTCGTACTCTTTTTTCATCCTTATTACAATACAACTGAGCGAATCCAAGCAAGCACTTTGTTTTTATTACAGAAATCAGAGAGAAACAACAACAGGGGAAGAGACGAGTTCCTGGTGGCACTTTAAGCAGGCAAGGTGACAATTACGCTTCGGTAACTCATCATTTATTAATTAAACGTTTTGAGTTGAGTAGAGTTTTATTTCAAATCCCAGTGACGCTTCACAAAATGTCCAGAACCTGAAGTCAGCTTCCATAAGATACTATGGTGGATTGCGATGTTGATCAGAAATCATTGATTACGTAAAAATAAAGTAATAATTGTAATGTAGTAGTTAGATGTGGTATTGTAAGACAGGCTTCAGCATGTTGATAATCCCGGTTAACAAAACAGGAAGTGTTTCAGTGACAAATATACTGTTTAGGATACTATGCTGATGGACATTTGAAAACTGAATGCACCTTAGAAATATCAAAGACAAGGTAATCCAGCAAGTTTTATGGCTGGAGGAAGATACATACACTGGTCATGCCTACAACTTTCGACAGATGACACAATTAATTGTAGCTGACTCTTGTTCCACTATTTGAATTATTTTTAGTATCCAACTTCTCTGGTTGAGAAGTATTATTGCAATTTTACTAAGAAGAGCGTGTTGAATTCACTCCCAACTTGAGTATAAATCCACACAATATATTTCATTATTCAATAAGACATGGAATTCATTTAGAAAATACCAAATAACATTTAGATGACCACATAGCGCAGAAAGCTAAACATTTAAAATAAATGAGTACAACTGATTAGTCTGATTAAAATTCAGTACACTCTAAACAACTCACTTCAATGTCTTTTCGTCGGTGACGGTTACGTTTTAGGTATTGTGAATAGGGTTGAAAATCAGTCCAACCTGCAGCGAACAAAACCAAGAGAAGAAATTTAATGATTTAACTCTTATAAAGTTCCGTTTCACAGACAAATAATTCAAGGAAACAATAAAATAACCTTGACTGTTAGTCACTTCACACTAGGCATGTTTTGTGCCCTAGAAAGTTAGCACTTTCACCAGCATTTGTTTACGAAGATGACAGGGTATTAGAGAAAAGATTACTCGAGGAGAAAAGCAGATGGATTTATTGACTAGTCACTGGTGTGTTGTTTAGTGCTTAGAGCTGACCAGGTTTCTCAGTCACGTTTGCAGCATAGTTATTGTGCTGCACTGCACTTTGAATTGATGCAGAACAGTTGGAAGAAAGTTTCAGAGCTAGAATTCATCTTCATTGACACTAACCAAGAAGATTTATCCGCGGTCATGTGAATACCATCATCTCCCCTGAGATTCGAATAGGCATTGCACACTGCTGTAGTCAGAGTGCACTGCAACAGCTACTTTCAGTAAACCTAAATATCTCAGCGATAACGTCTCTGACTACAGTACTGTGTCTCGGTTTCATATAGCAAATGTAAGTATATCCCAGATTACAGACATGCAATGCAGACGAGGGCCAATTATTACGAAACATATATATTTCTAGTCTCCTGTCGATTACTACCAACCACCCAACGTTAAATGAGTTTTTACAAAACAGTAGAATGACGCGAAAGAAAATTCTCCAAACAAATATGGTCTATCATATTGGATCCCGATAGTACAGGTCATTTTATTTGTTGTCTCTTAAATACTAAAGCTTTCATTATAATTCTAAATTCTCTTCTTAAGACGTTAATCAATACACAAAAGAAGTGAATCAATGTTACAAAAAAAAAATCAAATGATGGGACTGAAAAAGTTCAACTTTAGATTTATGCTGAAAATCAGTCATATTCATTCAGTGCACTATTACACTAACTAGCCAGAATGGAACAGACACTGATTATTCTGTGAAATTCATACAAAATGCTTGACACCATCAGCCTTCAACATAAGTACATAATCAATCATAAATCGAATTGACAACTTGCATTGCACACAGTTCAAGTGGTTGGTATACAACCACTCATCTCAATCATTCAACCAATCAATAGTTTATAGTTTTATGCATATAATGTAATCTTTTTCCGATGGATTCTTTGTGAGAAATATAGAACAGAAAATAATCGAGCAAAGAATATCCTTTAAGATAATTTCCTCTTCTGGCTCCACAATTATATATATATATATATATACATATATGTTATATACATAGAATATTCTAGAATAGTAGTCAATAACAATATTAGTGTTTTCTTAAATAATATCGATTTGTAAAGTAGGATCAATGGAATTACAGTTCATCAAAGATGCTTAAATAATAATAATAAAGATATAATAGCAAATATAATGTCAACTAAAATTAGGAAAATTCAACAAAAATTCATGATCATTCAAACCTAGATGGTCAAGGTAAGGACAACGTCTGAACCAGCTTTTTTTTGGACGCATAAATTAGACTTCTTAATATGAATCCCAACAGATAGCCTCAGCAATATTTAGTAATCGAACTCTTAAGGCGAAGTTAAGATTTGTTGGTATGCGGTAAATGACTTTGAAAGCCTCGTTGACATCAATCTTGTGTTCTGTATCCACAAGATGAGGTAGAATAGCACTACGAATAGATTTTGTTCCTCCCTTACTTAACCGCGCAGGGTGATGTTCCGAAATCCGACGAGAAATACGCCTAATTGTATGGCCTATGTAACTGGCTCCATAGGAGAAGTCCAAAAGAAGTTAGTTCAGACATTATCCTAACCTTGGTCAACTAGGTTTGAATGATCCTGAATTTTTGTGGAATTTTCCTAATTTTAGTTGACATTATATTTGTTATATCTTTATTATTATTATTACTATTATTATAATTTAAGCATCTTTAATGAACTGTAATTCCATTGATCCTACTTAACAAATCGATATTATTTAAAAAACACTAATATTGTTACTGACTACTGCTCTAGAATATTCTACGGATATAAACATATATATATATAATTGTAGAGCCAGAAGAGGAAATTATCGAAAAGAATATTCTTTGCTCAATAATTTTGTGATTTATAGATGTCTGAATGAATATTTTCGCTATATTGAAATAAATATAGGACCAATAAAATTGTTTTCGCATTTTGAAAAAATGCACTGCCGCTTATCTCTTTTTTCTGTGATCAAATCGGCTTGATCTAGATTTTACATAATCTAATTTTAAGGTGGGCAAGATTAGGGTGATATTAGCGCATGAGGGAAAAGAGTGAGTTTATTAGAATATTTAAAGACTGATAAGGAATAATTACGTCGGCGAAATGATGTTGAAAAAAAAATAGAAAACAGTGGATTGCACACTTTCTTGGCACAACATGTCAAAATAAAGGTGAAATGTCAAGTAGTTGCATTTACCAAACATTCAAATTGAAAATATTAAGAAGATCACTGATACATTTATTTATATCACAAATAATTTTTATATACATAGGCATAAATTTTACAGTAGACTAAATGCTAAAATACAGAAGAGGCATTCTCACTAAACTATTTACAGAATAATAATAATAATAACAAAGCATATCCTCATAGTTTATCATGCTGAGGATTTGAAAAATATAAGAATAACTACAAAGAAAAATTAAGACTAAGTAAATAAAGCTAAATACATATTAGAACTATAGAATGCAAAGGAACAGAAATGGACAGGACTGTAGCTTTGTTTATATATTCATGTGGATTTATGAGGGCCACTGCATTTAGAACGTATTTCATGAAGAATTTTATCACCACCGGCTGTAAGAAGATTGTTTCCTACTGCACAACCCAAGCTTTGAGCAATAGCCATTCTAAGACGTGCAATATCCGAAATCGGAGTAACCAATACTCCCATATACATAGATGACGGGTCTGAAGCTTCTTTTAATTCATGCTATATACATAGAGGGAAAAGGATTACAGGAATAATAACCAAACACAACTCATCATAACAAGCTAGATAATGCTCTTTTTTAAATTTGAAAACTGTCTGTCACATCAACAGAACTTATTTAAATCGATGTTCATAGCGAAATTTAAAAAAAAATTTATCGTTCAACACAGATCTGATACTACATAATGACAAGGCTGACAGTAAATACAGGATATTCAACAGTTGCAAGCTAATGCAACTAAGGTTCTTAAGCCTTATTACTCATAAAAATTAACAACCATGTTTACACAGTCTCTTAAACATCCCTTTTAGTAAACTAATTAGTAATTGAGAAACAGAACAATCAAGCGGCTATCCTCAACTGTTTCTGTGAAAAGCAAACAATACGAAAATGGGAGGAAAAGCATATAACGGGGAGGACATGTGTGTTGTACAATGACGTTCATACTTCACCCTTCACAAACTGTTGATAGTGATTGCGTAGGTTTTTTTTCTTTCCTTCACGTTCCCAGTGGAACATAGGGCTTCAAGCTAGTGGCCTGAAGTTTCTGTAGCAGTGTTTATTCTACAGGATGGGGTTGCTAGCCTCATGCCCAACCTTCCTTCTTTACCAGCATTATTAATGGCTTAGCGAGGTAAAGGAGTGCATCGGCCGGGGATCGAACCCCGGACCATGTGCATGGTCGGCGAGCGTCCTAACCGCTATGCCACCGACGATGCGTAGGTAGAGAACTTAAACAAGCGAAATTTAACAGTATGGTCATTTCGGTTTTGTCACCTACTCTAAAATCCAGTGCTTTTCTTACACCTATGAGTTCATTTAATATTCCAGCAATGGTAAGAGAAAATTTAAGACTAACAGCATTATATAAATGCTGCATGTATTTTCTGAAATACAGTATACAAGTACACTCTAGTTTTCATGTGCACTTGGGTATGTTTGACGATTTAACTACAGATATGCATATTGTCAACGTGTGGTTAACGAAATGACCGAGTTCTTCCTTAGATGTAAACCACTAAAGATGATGGTAGTTGAGAAAAAATAATTGAATATTCATTGTAATGCAATAAAGAACAACAGTGAAGAGTATTCGTAACAATCAATTGTGTATGCCATTATAAGTATGCAGCTAGTGACATACACTAAGATTACTATGATGATGATTGTTAACTCCTTGAATTCTGAGTGAAATGCAAGGCCTCACATGCATATGTCCACTGCATTAGGTTTTCTTACATCACATTCAAATAGCTTCTTGATTAACTGGTGTAGTTTATATGAGTATCATCTTTAAATGCAGTAGGTTAGTTTTCCAAACCCCGAAAAGTCGATTTAGGATATGTCAGGTGTTGATGCGTCGAATTTTCGAATGATTCCAAAGACCAAACATATTCCAATAACCAAAGATAAGAAGATAAAATCTTACCGACTAACAATCCAACAACACTACTGCAATATTCACACAACTTAAACATCTTCCACCTGTAAGCATTGGGGCTGATGAAAAAACGCTGAATAGTGAGGAAACTCCTACAATGAAATATGACAGCTTGTAAACCGCAATCCAGTCACTTTTATTGACTACAGTTTATCTCACTACTGAGCTATAAACTTGAAAATTCCTCGGTAGCAGATTTATTTACTAAAATATCAACCACTCATGGAGTATTATACACTAAACACACAAAATAGCAGGAGGATGACATGTTCTTCTGAATTTATACTGTGCTCGAGAGTGCATAACTGATTACCAATCTGCTAAACAGATCGTGTAGCTGACACCACGCTGTTTTCTTCTAGACTGGATGACCGAAGAAGCTTTAAACTAACCAGATTCAAAAACTTTTTAGGTTTTCATTCGTTATTGGCATCCTTAAACACACAAAATGTAGCTTTTCGTGTTGAAGTAGTGTGCTTATCCGCGTTCTTACCTTCGTTTGCGATGAATCAATTTCTTCGAGTGATTAAGAGCATGCAATTCTGACGTAAGTCAAAGATATATTTTTCCAAGAAGTAGAGGGATTTCATTAGCATATTGCTAAATTTGGTAAGTAAAATCATGACTCATCTGTAATTTCTGCACGAAGAGACATTACTAACCAGTCATATCGTCGCATCAGCAAGAAAGTAGTGGGGGAAAACAACAGGATAACAGAAAAAATTATCAGTCACCAAACTATGTGCAGAAAGGTGGAATAAGAAGCTAACCAAAGAAAGTTATATCGTAAAATAAATTAAGACGAAGTATGAATACATCACTATTATAAAATATTAGGCGAACACTACTAGTTCCGGTTGTCTCAAGGACTTCAATGAGGTGATAAGCTCTTCTCTACATAGTGCCGGTTATCACTCATCAATTTAACAAACTTGTACTGTGTTGATTTAGCTATCGTTTGCCTTTTAACCAACCTACTTACAAGGTGCATCGATCTAGATGATGTGTAGGTGTGCGTAACACATGTCCTAGTGAACTAAACCAAAGAAGATTTAGTCTTTTCGGATAATGCAAAATGCTACACCTTATGTCTAGATTGTTGTATGTGTCGGCCCCACTGTAAGCAAGTAGTAGAGATAAGTGTGACTCAGTGGCTTAACGCCTAATGCCCACCTTTCACAAACAAAGAGGGTCACTGATATTCAGCACGTATGGTCTCTGGGATAGTTCAAATCTCCCCTCAAAATAAATGACTGGATTTAGTGAAAACCTAACAAGCGTTCCATAGACATGCTGACGTTTTGTCGATTACTAATCCACCAGCACGGATATGCTTTTCTGGTTAATTAAAGCGGTTTATATACTCGACCGATTAATTTCCTTTCAACAGATAAGACATTGGTGGGGATTAAAGTGATAATTTAAGTTTTGAAAACCAGGGTCAGATGCCAAATATTATCAATTCAATGCTAGAAAAATTACTAGAAAACTGACACCTAGCAAGGTAAAATAATCTACAAAAATTATATCGAAATGGGGAAATTTAGGAGCGACCGTTATGAGGTCACTCACCTATAAGTGTATTAACGATAGTTAAATTAAACAGAGTAAACCTTTTTGATGGAAATCTCCAGATGAATGTGTTTTAAAGAAACAAAGTAGACCTTAACGTGACAGGCATATAAACTTAAACAAGGGGAGGAATTTCTCATTGAGATACAAATCCAATAAAAACCTCTTAATTGAGAAAAAAAATTTAATATTAGACCAACAAACTTACAGTAGCTTATTTTAAAATCAACTTGGTTTGTTAACTTGTTACGACACCATACAATTAGATTATATTAGTGTATCTGAGAACTATGTTATCACAATGATGACGAAAAGCGTGATGAACTCTGCCCACATCAAAGCACAATTACATTTCAGATTAATATTTGTAAAGTAGTTACAGTTCTATAAGCAATTGTAGTCGAATGTTAATCAATTCATTTGCGTTCATACTTGAATGACATAAAAGGTGTCACACAGCAACACAATTACTTTACTGACAGTCGGAAGTGAAAAGAGTTGCATAGTAATATGTGCGAAGGCATAGAGGACATTCCTGATTATCCCGTGTAGACTGATAACCTCAACTACACGCAGCACCTTGGTGCCTAACCAGTTGAAATAACATTATTTATTCAGCGTACTTGGTTGATAAGACTACGTTCGAGCCAGAATCGATTATCATTAGATGCACAACTACCCAGTTAACCTAAATGACTATGTTAAGAAAGATTGAAAGAATAGTAACCAAGTACTCGGATACTGAATAATCTTACCAACGGAACAACCGAAAAGGACCCAGCAATTGAGAATGTATTCAACATCTTTGGTTAACATGACTATGTATTATGCCTACTCAAAACCAATCATCGCACTTTCAAAAACCTTATGCAGTAAATTTAAAAAGTGCAACTGCTTTCATTATAAATAACAGGTGGATCGGTAACTCACTTCGCTTGGAGATGATATTAGCTTCATATTGTTCTCCTTTATTGACATATTTCCTTCACCGTTGTGCTTATGCTTATTCGGATTCACATCTGTTTCACAGTTTGAATCTACGGACATGGTTTCTGGAAAAATAACAGATGCGGACTCTTCCACACTTTTTATACCATCAACACTTAAAATATTTGCATGGAGAGTGAGTTTGAAATGTTCACGGTTTCCCTCTGAGGTGAAATAACTGCGAACACTGATGGGAATGGAACAACCACCATCAAGTTGACGCATTAAACTCCTCTCTGAAATTGAAGTCAAAGCAGCTGACTCATTATGAATGCGTGATAGTAAATCCAAAATAAAGCTATCGTGCCGACGGCATTCACAAGCCAAAGCACCCTGGCTTACAGCATAAAAGGAAGTCGATAGAACCTGTTGACAACAGAAACAACCAAACAATAATAACAACTAGTCACATCATAGTGATTGGTAACAAGTTTTTCGACTCATTCCAGTATATAAAACATTTATATGTGCATGAAGGCTACTTAATATTTGTGTTGCTAGAACTTTTACTTGTCTAAAACTCGAATACCCGGAAGAGACTTTTTATGTACCAAGTAACAGGCCACATTTAATGCGTGAGTTGATGACGATAGCTAGTTACCCAGGCTGAATATGTGCAGTGGCATTCGAATCTCGGACCCTTTGCCTAAAAGATGTGTCAAAGCTAAAGTCACATCTCCGTTAGTGTTCAAACAATCGCGGATTAATCAGCTTTTGTAAGACTTCTGTAACCAATAAAATCGCATTTCGGAATGAAGCTATAGAACGTTGCTGGTCTTATATATATATATATATATATATATATATATATATATATATATAAGTTCCGTAAGTATTTGAGTGACTTAATAGCGTAAAACTGTACAAAAGTGCATCAGTTCAAGTTGACACACTTCGGAAAAGCATACAAAGTCCAAGCAACAAAAGTGGTGAGACAACAATGGGAGATGTAAAGGAGAAAAAATAATCAAATACAAACTTTTGGAATCTAAAATACAATAAAGCAAAGAATGAACTTGCGCCATTTTAAAATACATCAAATTATCTCTTCGCTGACTTAGAGCATCATATAAGTGCTAAATTAACTTGGACCAACAGTTAGTGACTACATGAATTGGCGTGATGTTTTTGTATGACCACTTATAACTTTTTCCCACTCTAATTCTACTTCAGCCTACATCACTCGTTAGCCAACCAATTCATTAGAACTGGTGCAACTTGTCAAATAAGCGTATAGACCAACACATCTGGCCACTTATATATGTTCAATCTATGAAATGGAGCAGGTCATTCCTGTAACATCAACCCTATTACATCTGATAGGAGCAAACCATACAACGAAAATATTCAGATTTGAGTTCAATGTGTTCTGAAGACTGATTCTTCAACATTTTGCCCAACAGGATTACACTTTCTGTTTACTCCGGTGAATCATCACATTTTCTAGTATTGAAACGTCAAAATCAAACAAAATCACACCCACTTATTGGAACATAAATTGTCTTACCAGAATACGGGTTACCTAATCACCTAGATACAAGCGAATGATCATGTAGATAGAAATTCTGCTAAAATTATCGACTGACATAGAGAGATGGACACTGCAATTAGTATCCAGTGCTTACAAAACCATTATTTGAATATTCTACTGACGGCTATGACTTAATTGCTTAAAAAACAGAAAAACCATGCCATATTACGGTTTAGTATGCATTTGTAAGGAGATGAGTTCTGTAATGTGTAACTTAACCACTCGAAATTATTTATAAGTAATAAATTGCCTCTCAGTGGATCAAATAGTACTTGATAGACTGTGAATGCGAATCGCACAACGAACTAAATTCTAATTTCTCCTCTAATTAACACTTATCACAAAAATAGTCAATCTCATCTACTAATTTTAAATTAACTCCTCAATGCTGACACATAACCATTGAAAAAATAAGGTGATTTTATAACTTGAAGTAAACAAAAGTGCTTTCAAAAGACAATGTGATAGATACATTAAACATCTTCACAATAACAAATAATCTGAACCGAGATGAAAATAATAATAATAGTGCAAATGTCACTGGTTTATTGCTGCATCAACGTTAACTTTAGATAACACTACGAGAGAAAAAATATTGCATTACTCACATTTGTGGAAATATTAAACTAGAAGTGTTATGAACACAATTTTAATAGTGGAGCTGAGTATACAAAGTAATTCGGATCTACATTTCACTAAATAACTCCTGATGTGGTGTATAATTAAATTTCACACTCACATTAACCACGTGCCTACGGCAATTTTGAGATATTCGGCTACCTATTGGCATTTAGATCCTGGAAGGTGGATTTTAATGTTACAGGCTATAAGCTACACTGATTTTGAGGGCTGGCGATACCACGCAGTTGCCCAAAATGAAGTGGATGAAGAGGGACTGAAAAGCGACACCCACTAGCTGAACATCGAATAATTGGATAAGCTAGTCATTCCCTAAACAATGCTGTACTTAAAAAGGGCCCAATAATTGTGCCAGGATTATACGATGCACAGATGACTTAAATAAATAGTTTGTCTCATATAACTTAATAATAATAAGTAACCCAAGCGGTGTACATGTTAGAAAACGACTGATATGTGAAAATCACTAGTACCCTTACTACTAATTAACTCAAACATTCCATACGCAACTGGATAATAGGCAGATGGGAACACCATAGCTTGCACACAGCACGATAGAAAGACTAACTAGTACCACTAGTGTTAACAGGTGCAACAATTACACAAATGCCGTCCTCACGATGTTATCCTAAAGTTTTACTTGAAAAACAAATGAGAGGAAATTTATATAAATAAAATATTATAACATTTTTTCGTGACCTAACACGCTTTCTACAAATCAAATATGTGCAATAACCATCAAACCTTACGTTGACGATATGGTGACTCTTACATTTAATGCACGGTAGTTTATATAACTAATGTGGTTCTGTAAATTTACTTTACAGAAACTTGAAAGTGAGAAATTTTACGACCACAGATACGAAAATTATTAAATTCACGTACCTCATCAATACGATCTGACCATCCCATCCTATCTACTCCTGCTTTTGCCAGAATAATGGCATCATACTTAACAGTTTGGATGCGTGTACAAGTTTCGTCATTGTGAGGCGTCCACACACCGTCAAGCTTTGCGAGTCTTGTGTTTAAATTACCGCGTACGGAAACAAAATTTAAGTGAGGATATTGGCGTGACAGAGTAGCAACTCGTCGCACAGCACTCGTTCCAACAATGGAACCTACAGGAAGATCACGTAATTTCAGGCCGCGATTATGTGGTGCCATCAGTACAACATCTTCGGGTGAAGATCTAGTAAAAATGCACCCCAGAACTAAACCATCCGGTAAGGCTGTGGGGACATCTTTCAGAGAATGTACGACAAAATCAACTTCTTCATCAAGTAGGGCTTTTTCAAGTTCCTTAGTGAACAAACTTTTGTCTCCAATTTTCGACAGCTCTACATTTAGTATTCTATCTCCAACTGTCGTCATTTCAACCACTTTGAATTCTAGACCAAGGTTTAGTTTGACGAGCAGATCAATTGCCATCTGTGTCTGCAGAAGTGCCAACGTACTGCGCCTTGACCCTACTCGTATTACGTTGCCACTTCGTAGATCAAGCATGTTGCGGGTCAAGGCCAAGTTTGAAAGTTTGCAAGGTCATAACCCGATAAACAACGTCCTGCTCAGATAGCTTGACTTATATGTCACGTTTGATTGAAATTTCTCTTGGAAATTGTTTTTTGTCAATAATTTTTTTAAACTGTATTACATGTTATCTGGATTGATGGAAAATCCTATTTCCTGACAAGTTATGTTGGTGTCTGCGTCATGTGATCTGACTGAGACACACTCTTAGCATATCGGTTGCAATGATTAGTGTTTCAGGCAGACTATGTGAAAATACCGCTATAATGAGGAAGATGGGATAGTTGGAGGGTAATTTCACACAAATCGCTTACTCCATGTACAAGCTGCACCTTTCAGCATAGTATCGCAATGATAACTTCACGTCTCAGGATATTGATTCAGTCTATTTTCGTTTGAAGAACAGTCTTTTTGACAAAAGAATGGCATCAGTACATAGAAATCTTCTGTGGGAACCATGCACTGATTGGCACAGTGCAATATGGGTTATGAGAATTCAATGTATAAAAATATCTCAACTTTATTAATATTATGCCATTTTCTGCTTAACTGACTGCTAGGCTAATAAATGTAGTTGTTTCTCGTGATTTTCGCAAGTGCAGTGCAGTGGGAAAGGTAATTACTCGTTTAAATTTCCTTACTGCTTCACTTAATGCATTAATTCAGTATACGGTATGATTATACAGATGGATTTTGTTGATTACGAGAATTGGATGTAGTCAGCTCTATTATTACTAATCCATTGTCAGTTATACTATTTCCACTGATACTGTATACTTAATGTTGCAATATTTTTGATCACCAATAGTGGAGATAAATTTCTCCTGAAATTTAAATCAAAAAATGAAGCAGTACAGATGTAGTGTCACGACTGAATGTCTAGGTTGTATTATATGGCATTGTTATCCTCATCAACACAACAGGTCTGCGTATCCTACAATATTATAAGTTGTTATCTATGTTGTTAAAAATATGCATAACTGTTTAGAGTTGAGGCTGGTTCAAATAGTTACTTAATATGTAGAAATTCCATAAAAAAACAACGTCTTTTACGTTGATACCGGTAGTATTGAACCATCTTCAAGCCATTCTAATGAAGAAAGCCAAAATAGGTTGATAGTAGAAAAGTTTCCGAAGTACGCATTTAAACCGGAGTACTTAGAAACTGGACTGAATTTGTGACCTTGAAATTTTTCCATTAATTGAGTATAGCGTAACCGGGACTACTCTTAGAATCCAGACACTTGATTTGTTGTAAGAAAACGAATTAAAAGTGGATAATATGCAATGATCTACTTAATAAAGTATCTACTGTAGTTCAAGCTAAAAATTTAATTAGCAATAATAATCTTTCCGATATTTGTAATTCCATGTTTTAAATAATTACAGAATGTAGTTCATTTTTAATAAAACTGTGAATAAATTTTCTCTTAATTAGTGATATTATATTTCTAGTCTTAATTGAGGAATCATTTGTTGACACGATCAGACGAATATATAACTATATAGGCAGGATAAATAAATCTTAACGCTTTCGTGAGAATGTGGTTATATTTACTCTGTTTGGCAGGAAGATAATCTTTTTATCAAGAAATTTCTCAGAATGTTCACTTTTACTTAGTAAATTAAGGGCACGTTAAGTTGCCCACTGACTTAGTAGCTTCAGGAGATTGTTTTCAATGAAAACTATTTTGCGCCCATACGTCATATAACAAAGCAGCGTACGTTGATTATGATGCTACTCCATATTAAAATATTAATCAAGCAAATATCAATCCCATGAAGCAAAAGAATTTTGGCATTTAGTAGTATACAGATATATATCTGGATAAATAAAGTGGCCTAGGATTATGGAACAGCGGAGTATCTTTCTTCAACTTGCTAAACCCTGCCTAGTTTTCACGACGTCTTACTGCATACAAACAAACGAAAAATCGTACAAATGGTTAAGGTAACCACGTCAAAGTTTTACAGTAAATTTCTGTTTCATTATCGCAGCTTTATTATTATTTCCCTGGTTTTTGAGTGGAACGTAAGAATTGAACAACTCATCCCCACTTTCTTTTATCTTATGCTGCCCTCTTCGGCTATGTCTACGATTGATCATAATCTCTCATCTCCTCCTGACACGGTCTCCTCCCTGTCACTCTCGCACTCACAACCCACTCGTCGCTCCCCGTTGGGATTCCACTCCAGTGATGGCCTGCGTGATAGCCTCCTCAATGTATGCCAAATCCATCACCATTTTCTCCTACATATTTGCTGAGTAATCGGATCTTACTTGGTTTGTACCCAACCAGAGTTTCTTGTTACTGATTCTTTCTGGTAATTTGATCTTCACTATGGAGCCAGCGAAGGCGGCTGTTGATGAAAGTCTTCAACCTGTTCAAAGTCCTTTACGTTACACTCTGGCCAACATTCTGACCGTATGGAAGAACCGATTTGACATCGGTGTTGAAAATCCGAAACTTGTTCCTGATGCTGAGTGCAGATGATTTCCAAACTGGTTTCAGGTTGATGAATGCGTATCTCGCCTCTCCGATTCTGATTTTGGCATCTTCATCCGTTTTACATGTATTTGAAACGATGCTTCCTAGATACGTGAAGGAGGTAACCTCTATTAAATCTCTCCTATTGATGATGATTGGTGCTGTTTGCTGTTGCTGTTGAATGGTTACCTCCATTACACTTGTCTTCGTCATGCCTCTTTCGACTTTTTGTATGGATTGGTTTGCAGTCATTCTGGTTCCAGACTGAAAAGAATCAAAAATCAACTGGCTACTGAATTATTAATACTTCTATGCATGTTTAACTGGATAATAACTGCTGTGGTGAGCCTTTTGCAGATTATATGGCTGAAAACATCATTTAAGGTAAACTAACTAACGTTTTATGACCCATTTTTATACTTTTGTGAGTAGCTCACCACACCGACGAAATGTAACTCAACACTCAGTTGTTACGCGCATATCCGACAAATTCAAACAATAATGGCGCCTAGGATTATGCCATATAAATTGTTTTAACTTACGCAAAGTGTGCTTACTGTCATTATTCCACTATCTTCCCTTGCATATATATCTTGTGTCCGTGAAAATTTTTAAACATGCTTACTCCATATGTACATTATTATCATATTGATGATGCCTGTCAACTGCAGTCCCTCATGTTCATAAAGTGACAATCGATTACTAAAAAGATGGATTTTATTGTTTCATGAGGGAATTGACTTCAAGCTTTATTTATTTTCCCAAGTATCTGTAATCCAGCCAACACAGACTTCGGCTTTTTTGTTAATGCGAAGACAATATCTCTATATTTCTTGATGTGGTCCATTGAATCACTAGTTATCAGATTTTTCCCACAAACTAAAGACAAAATGACAGAAACCATGTAATTTAACCTTAAATCATGTAATTTGAATATGTAATTTAAATAATACTTATCCATGCCTGTACAATTGGTGTGTCATACATATGTAGGAATAAATCCGTACCTTATTATGTTGTCACTACTAATTATGTTTACTAATCGTGTGTGTAATTTATCGAATTGATGATGCCTGTAAACTGGCGTCCCTCATGTACAAGAATGAGAATATATTATTATTATTATTATCATTATAACTGATGCCTTCTACCTCTATGTTAGCACACGGTGTTCCCGAGCTGGAAACTGCCACTGTTTGTAAAAAGCACATGCATGACGTACAGCAATGGAGATGGCTGTCATCTCAGACGACCTTTGGCGCTTCTGGAGCAGTTTCCATTCTCCAACTACCTCGCCCCGCACATCTGACACTGATTAGTTCTCCAAAGCTGATAAGTGTCAAATTCAACTCCCAGAAGTAGTTGGCCATAGTACTTCAACGGTGGTATGAGACTGAGGAAAAAATGCAAGGACACATCCGATGCTGTGAAAGCAGACCTCGAACCATAACGGGGCAGCAAACTGAAGCCTTAACACGTCCCCAAGCCTCAGTGACACTAGAGCGATTAGGTACTGAGAATAACAGTCCGTCACCCAAGTGTCCTACATGAATCCATGGAAAAAAGCTTCAGAGGGCCGGTTCCATCGGAATCGGTCAACTAGTCCCAACATGAAGTCCTTTACCAGCAGACAACTTAACGTCAACTACCCCATAACACGCTGAGGTTGTGGGACTCACTTTCAACTGAGTAAGCTGACCAATACGAAACTGAATAGAGCAACCGTAATTGAGGATGGTAAAGGCACCCTCTTAACAGAAGAAGCAGATATCCTTAGAAGGTGGACAGAATACTGTAAGGGACTCTACAATCATAAAATAAGCCCTAATTATAGCCTAATAAACAATTCATGCTGGGACAATAGGGAGATCGGTGATTCACCCATACTAGAGTCAGAAGTAGAGGAAGCAATAAAATCACTTAAGGGAGATAAATCACCAGGAATTGACAACATACCGGCAGAACTAATTAAACATGGTGAACCACAAACAGTTAAATGGCTGAAAGCAGCCTGTCAAAAAATCTGGCAAGAAAAAGAATGGCCTAAAGAATGGACTCAGTCACTAATCATTCCAATATTTAAGAAAGGGGACGCAAAGCAGTGCGAGAACTACAGAACAATAAGTTTAATCAGCCACCCAAGTAAAGTCATGCTGAAAGTAATATTGAACAGACTCAAAAAGAAAGTAGAGGAAATACTCTCAGAAGAACAGGCCGGATTCAGGCCGGGCAGAAGCACTGCTGAACAAATTTTTAACATAAGGGTACTAAACGAAAAATGTCTACAACACCAAAAAATGCTAGTACACAACTTTATCGATTTTAAGAAGGCCTTTGACCGTGTGTGGCACGAAGGCTTATGGCAAGTCATGAATAACTACAATATAGATAAAAACATAATTGAGGTTATTAAGTCTTTATATAACAAATCTAGTAGTGCAGTATCTCTAAATAATCAAACTGGCGAGTTCTTCAGAACAACTATAGGAGTACGCCAAGGGTGCATTCTC